AAAGGCAGGCGCTAAACCGCTGAGCCACCCAGGGATCCCCTGTGTTTTTTTTTTTTTTTTAAAGATTTTATTTATTCATGAGAGACAGAGACACAGGCAGAGGGAGAAGCAGGCTCTCCATGGGGAACGTCATGTGGGACTCGATCCCAGGGCCCCGGGATCACGCCCTGAGCCAAAGGCAGACACTCAACCACTGAGCCACCCGGGTGTCCCCATGACTGCTTTTGTCAAAACTGGACTGTACACTAAATGGGGAACATTTTACTGTATATATACACCTAAAAAAATGAAAAAAGAAGTGGGAAACAAATCTTCAGCGGTGTGGGACTTATGGCCCATGGAATACCATGCATTCTATTTTTAATCTAAGCATATTTAGGGACATGAGAAAATGCTCTTGAAATATTAAGAGAAGGGAACAGGGTGCCCAACTATGTTTATAGTATGAGCTCAATTTTGTAAAACATACACGTTGATGACAAACACAACAGAATCCTTGTGCTACACACATGCACATAGGGAAAAAAAAAAAGACTAGAAAAAATAATCTGGAATTACCACTGTGGTTGCCTCTGGACCCCCGGACCGTGGGTGGCTTTGTTTTTCTGAATACTTTTGCTTAAATTCCAGATTTCCATCTGAGCCTTTGTTCTGTTTATAAATAAGCGAAAAGCATGGACATGGTTACTGGAAAATACTATAAAGGGGCAGAGGTGGCCCATTAGCTGCACATGGTCCATTTGCCCAAGGTTTGCCCTGCTGATCCAAGGTTGTGGCGCTCGGGGCTGTTTGTGTTGTCACTGCCACGGGTTTCTGTGGCCTTCGGTGGCCACACGGTGTCTGCCCGTCAGTTATCCTTTCCTTAAAGAGAGTGATGTTACAGAGCGCCTGGGGGCGCTCAGTGGTTGGGCATCTGCCTTCGGCCCAGAGCGTGACCCCGGGATCCCGGGATCGAGTCCCACCTCGGGCACCCCACAAGGAGCCTGCTTCTCCCTCTGCCCGTGTCTCTGCCTTTCTGCATCTCTCAAGAATAAATACATAAAACATTTTTAAAAATGAGAATGATGTTACTGATGCAGCTCATCTGTTCATCCGTTCCTTCCCTTGTGCACGTCCTAGCCCTTCCCACAAAGGATTTGAGGAGTCTGAAGCAGCATTATCTGAATTCCATTTGGATGGGCCAAAATGGGCTTCACTGGATCTTTTCAGTTTCGCTCTAGGAGCTTCAAGGGGAGAAGGTCTGGGGCCAGCTTGCTGCTCAGTCAAGTGGGGCCAGTGCTGTGACTCCAGAGCCAGGGAGGACCTGGGGTCCCAGTGGGGGGTCACTGCAGCTGCGCCCTCACAGCCCAGCAGCGCGGCCTAGTGGCAGGGCCTGTACTGCACCACCGCGTCCGAGGGCTCGCTGGGCTGCCGGGGGCTGTTGCACCCTGGGCAAGTCACCCAACCTCTCTGCCCCCCCAGCACCTCGCCTGTAAAACTAGGGATAATAACATTTCCCTAGTTCATGGGGCTGCTGGAGGGTTGGGGGGTTTAGCCCAGGGGCTGGCACAGACGGAAATACAAATGATAAGCTCTTATTCCCATTTTACCAACAAGCAAACCAAGGCTTAGATTAAGTACTTCAGTCAGGCCCATGCTGCTGGTACCGTCACAGCCCAGTTGGAGCACGGGGAATATGACTTCACGGTCCATGCTTTTAACCATCGAACCCATTTTTATGCCTTTGTAAGACTGTTGAGTTTCAGGGGAGAAAATGTGGAAAACCCAGCCCCCCTGGGTCGTTTCATACATGGACGGATACGTGGCTTCGAGGAGGCACTCGTGCCTGGGGACTGGTTGGGGAGGATCTGGAGTCTCCACCCGAGGTCGGCCGAGTTGGGATGGCCTTTGGGGTGAGACTACCTCCATAAGTGGCCCCCAGATTTGTGTGTTTTATCAAGCAGGTTCACACTCTAGACCGCATGCGATCATGAAAAAGGAAAGGCAGGAACCACTTCCCCATTTTCCAGATGAGGAAATGGAAGGTCAGGAAGACGGAGGGGCTTACCTGAGGACATGCAGCTCATCAGTGACACAGGTGCCCTTCTGACCCTGGTGGGACGCCTCTCCTTCTGCCACCGGCCTGCCACCTAACCTTCCCTGCCCCTGGCATGAGAGTCCTAGGAATAGTGAGGGATGGGATGTCACATTGGCCTGTGTCCCTTGCTCCCTGCACTCTCTTGGGGCCTATCTCCCACTGCCTTGGCCAGGCTGTGGGCAATCAGTGTCTGGGTCCCCAGGGCCTGGCTCCCATGTCCCAGAGCTGGGTTGGGAGCATCTGCTGGTTATATGAACAAATCGAGGGGCACAAGGAATGGCTGGTATTTTGGGAGCTCTTCCTTGTGCTTTGAGACCGGTGGTTCCAGGTCAGCATCACTTGGGACACATTAGATTAGATATGCGAACTCTGACTCCATCCCCAACCTCGTGATTCAGAAACTTTGGAATGTGGCCCAGCAAGCGGGGCTGTAACAAATCCTCCAGGTGTACCAGGGCACCTGCTTTTTGGAGTTAGGCACTGGAGTTGAAACCCCAGCCCTGCCCCTAACTTGCTGGATGGCCTCACACAAATCATGCAGCCTCTCAAGATTTGTTTCCTCATCTGCAAAGCGGCGTTCGTGCATAATGAGGAGCCCTTATGTGACCCTTTGCAGAGAAAGGTGCTCAGCACTGGACCTGGCATGGAGCTGAAAAATGCTAAGCCCAAGGCTGGTGAGAAACAGTGGGCTGAGAAACTGTGCCGGGATCAGCCCGGCTCCTCTAACTCTGCTCGGCAGTGGCCCCACCTGGTGCAGGATGACCTTGTACCTCAAGCAAGAGGCCTGTGAGATCCGGCTGGGCCCGGGTCTGGCCTCCCTGGGGCAGTGCTCCTGCAGGTGTGAAGGGATGCAGAGGGTGCCTGCCCAGCAAGGTCTCCCGCTTCTGGACACCCCCAGGGTCATCCCCACTTTGCGGAAGGTGAGGCTCAGGCACTTGCTTGGGTGTTGGGTCGCACACAGGTGGGGGGGGGGTTCCTCCCCTGTTTGCAGTACACCCTGACCTCTTGCCAGGCAGGGATGCTTCCCACTGGAAGTGCGGGGAACAGGTCAAGGACCCCATGGTACTGTGACCCCCAGGGCCTTGGAGCTGGGCTGGGGGCCCTGTTCGCCTTAATTTCCTGAGACTTGTAGGGTGGCATCCAGAATCCACCAGGTACTCTCTCAGGGGACCATCCTGCCCTCTCCTCCCTGGTGTCAAAATGACTTGGACCCTCCCTGAGCTTCTGGAGTTCCCCAAAGGCAAACCTAGGTCCTCCTTCGTTTTTCTCCTAGTCTTGTACACAGTAGGTACTCAATAAATGTTTGCTGGACGAATATGACCCGTGGAGAGGGCCAGCGGATTCCCTGCAAGGAAGGGCTACTCAGGGGCAGGCCATGCTCGGCTCCCCCAACCACTCACTGTGACCATGGGCACGTCACTCCTGCCCCCCACCTGGCCTGCTTCCCCACGAGCAAGGCCGGGGGCGGGGCCGGTGGCCCACGGAGCCCTTCTCAGCCCCCAGCCCCGTCCGGGGGGTCAAGGGGTCCCCTCCACGTCTGCCCCGAGGCCCCAGGAGCCGCACTGAAGCGGGCGCCCGCTCCTCGCAGAAGCTCAGGGAGCCTCGGGCCTCGGCTCCGGCCGCTCAGAGCCGCATCTCCGCCTGGGCGTCCGGGGCCTCAGCCCGCCGTCCTGAGGAGGCTGTGGGGGGGCAGCGAGGATGCCAGAAGCTTCGGCTGGCCGGCTGGCCGGGAGGAGGGGTGCTCCCTCGTCAGCACGGTAACAGGTCTGGCACCTGGGTGCCCGGGGCTCCCGGGGGCAGCTGCGGGGCGAGTCAGGAGCCCCAATTCCGCCGAGTCCGAGGGCCCCCCCTCCGGCTCCCCCCAGCCCTTCCTCACCTGCCAGTGGGGCAGCAGGGCGGGCGGCCCCCAGGAGCCCCGCAGTTCTGTCGCGGGGCTGGAGGTCCTGGACCTTCCGTGTCGTCCTCGCCGAGCGGGGGGACTGCGGCCTCCCCATGGCGGTGGTGAGGGCCTGGCCACCAGGAGGCCGCTCCACCCCGCGGCGGCGACGCAGCTCCTCATGAGGCAGCACGGCCGCCGGCTGCCCGCCTCCCCGAGGCCCGCACCCCGGAAGGGGCCCTGTCTGGATGAGTGTATCGGGGCTTGGTGCTGGGCTGCGACAACCCTTACATCTCTCCTTCCTCGCCTCCCTGGCCGCCTTTCAACACAGGCCACCCCAGTGAGGGGGAGGATCCCACAGGGACCTTGTGCCACAGACCAGCCGGGACTCCCTGGGTGTGGCTCCTGGAGCCTCCGTGTGCTTCTCTGTAAAATGGGTTAGGAAGACAGCCCACTCGGGGATGTCTGGAGATGGGCATGGTTGGTTTTGTTTTGTTAAGATTTTGAGAGAGAGCAAGAGAGCGAGCAAGCACAAGCTGGGGGGAGGGCACAGGGAGAGGGTCAAGCAGACTCCTTGCTGAGCAGGGAGCCTGACATGGGGCTCGATCCCAGGACCTCGGGATCATGACCCAGAGTGGAAGGCAGACCTTTAACCACCTGAGCCCCCCGGGGTGCCCCTGGAGATGGGCATGTGATTCTCAGGTACGGTATGAGCAGAGCACAGGGCCCAGCATACAGCAGGCGCTCAGGGAATGTGTTCAAAGAAACCCAGTGATGGACGCTCTCTCCTCTGGGTCCTCCTGTTTGGACCTCAGGGAGGGAAGGCGGTGCCAGCCTGCTGTCCACACTGGGGAAGCCCAGGCCACAGAGTACCAGGTTCCGGGGAGAGTGGAATCGAGGGGCTTGGGTGCCTTAAATCCCCAACCTCTGGGTGGCAGGGCATACAAACAACCCTTCTGGCCATGGTCTTATGCCTGGGATCTCGCCCAGCTCCAGAGCTGGGAGATGCTGGCATGGGCCTGAGGGACACAGGGCTCCAGACGGTCACACGAGATCAACTGTTTATTGATTCTTTTTTTCTAAAATACTATACATTTAAAGAAACTCCTAACTGAAAAGACTTGACAATTTTTGGTAAATCTGTAGCAAAGGAATGAGGATTTCTGCTGGTAAGTTGTCATGACAAACACAGACACACATCCACTTTCCAAGCAAGACATCAAGCTCGCTGGAAACACTGAGAAAATGCATAGCTTGTGATGGCAGCGGCCATTTCCCCCATGTCTGGGTTACACAAAATAAAGGTTTTCCCGCCTTCCCTCCCCCCTAACCCCCTGCCCTGTGATTACAGTGTCACTCCTGCCCCAGCACATCTGCTCCCGATGACCAAGGCCACTCAGAAGAGACCCCTGTGCTCAGGGTGAGACCCAGCTTTCGTGTGCTCATGAGCAACAGAGAGGAGTGGAGCCCTGTGTCCCTCAGCTGCTGGAAAGACACGGGAGGTTTTACAGTGTTCTGCTACGGAAAGGACTGAGGCTGGTTTGGAGGGGGGCCCAGAGCTGGCTGGCCAAGACAGGCCTCCCCACAGCCGCCTCCACGGCACACAGGCCCAGGCCCGCACGCCCCCAGCCCCGAGCTGGCCCAGCCAGGCCTGTGCCCGAATGTCACAGTCTTCAAGCAGTTTACAAATGAAACCCTCTGTCAGAAACCATTAAATCTCAAACAGTAGACGAACTCTTTAGATTCTCTGCATATCAAATAATATATACAGATATACACCGAGACGTGACCGTCTAATATAAAGCATCTTAACCTATAGACGCATGTGCTTCAGAAGTTAGTCTTACTTTTGAACCTTCCAAATCACTGATAAAATTGTTAATTTGCAAGTATGAAGTTTGGAACGCAAGCAGAACGAAAATAAGTTTTTAAATATGGGGACATTTGGAGTACTACATAAGGTTGTTTCCGGAACTCACGGCGGATGCCTCCAGTGCGGAGGGCATTCACGACAGATACCCAGCCGAGCGTGTCCCCACCTTTCCACTGCAACCTCTAGCCTCAAACACCACCCGTCTCACTAAGCCCCGGCCTTGCGACTTGCCCCCAGCGCAGCCCGGCTGGTTGACAGTGCAGCACAGAGACAGGGGCTGCCTCGAGACTGGTGTGTATCACTCTGTGCCATAATTTAAGTATCAGTGAATGGAAGAACAGGTATATAAAAAAGTATAACTGTACACAGCCTTTAAATTAAAAACCTCAAAGTCTTCACTCAGAAAATGGCATGTAAGTTTGTTCATTTACGTTGCGGGTGATGGGACTCGTCAGAGGAAGTAATCAGTGGAACAAGAATCAGTGGAACCCACCATGACTCAGGAGAGGAGGAAAAGCAAGGTCAAGAACAGACAGATCCATGATAAGCCGACACGCACAGTGAGCAGGACGGGGGAATGGGGCGAGTTCTGTTGTACTGTTTTCCTGCGCTCAGACCTCTCCGGCTACACCACGTGTGGAAAGGTGCCGAGTCCCAGGTGAAATGACCCAGCTCGTCTGCCTCTGAGAGACACCATGAAGCCAAGGGCAACGGAGCCATCAGGTTTTGCAGGAAAAGGAGCGGACGCTCGCACGGCCGGCTGCTACCGGAGTGCCGCTGCCCGGGGCCGATGGCCAACGGAGCTCCTGGGGCCCCTGCCTCCATCCTCCGCCAGCCAGCCGGCTGGCCCGTCACTGGATCGCCTCGACGTAATTCGCTGGGTACAGGCCGACCTGCCCGTTGTCCAAGCGTCCCTTGCACCAGCCCTGCTCATCCTCGTCCTCTATCTTGGTCAGCTCGTCTCCTTCAAAACAAGAAAGAAGCAGTCCTGGTGAGCGGGCACAGTCGCCCTACTAGCTCAACCCACCCCCAGCCCACAGACAGTTTTTAACTTGGGCAGGAGGGGCAGGCATTCTCTTGGGGGTGGGGTGGGGCCAGACCTACTTATTTCTCTACTAAATTGCACTTTAAAGGGGCCTCAGAGAGGTCTCGCACAGAGTCCCTAAAGCCAGCAGCTCCTACAGACACTGCAGAATTAAATGTCACGGGCTCCGTGCTTCCCAATCATCCCAGGCTGGGTCGGAGGAACCCTTTCCGAGCGGCTGTGCCACCCCCCTTGCCACCCTCTCCTGCTGTCCTCTGCCCCAAGCCCCAGCCCGCTCCACCTTCTCACTCTCTTCTGGAACCTGTTATCCTGACTCAGTGTGACTGGAGTGGTTGCAGTGGGAGGGGCAGGGACCCATCAGTCTAAGCCCAGCCCCCAGCTCAGGGCATTCATCCTGTGACTTAAAGAAATCATCCCTTCCCAATACAGTGAGATGGAAGCCATCAGCACAGTTCTGTAATCTCCCATGGTGTTGTGTGTTAGCATCATTTGATTCTGCTTGTCTGTTCAGACATGAAGGCCAGGCCCGGGCAGGGGAGAAGGTACCCTGATGGGGGCGCAGATGGAGTCCTGGTCCTTCAAGGAGACAGACGGGGGCAAAGACCAAAGTGTGGTCAGGGCCCTGGTGGGGAAGGTCCAGGTCTGGCATCTCCCGCTCAGGGCAACAGAGCAGCCTAGCACCAGAGGCCGCTCGAGGAGCCACCTGGGGCTCTGGCCAGCGACCGCCTGCAGGGGCGGCATGGGAACCCCGGAGCTCAGGCCTCGGTCCAGGCAAATGCCGGAAGTCTGTTAGCCCCAGGACAGCTTTTGCCTTTTGTTCAGCTTGGAGCTTTGCATTTCTCACTGGCATTTGGGTCCCCTTTTCAGGCTTGGTGGCAATTTCTTCCCCGGGCAGTTATGCCTTGTGAAGGCGTTTCCCTGTCTCTCTTTGGTACAGCTAAAGTGATGAAGAGGCCTGTGGGACTGATATCCAGAGCTACTGGATTCGAATCCCAGGGCCCCTGCTCATGGGCAACACGCCCTGCCCCTGGGGCCAGGTTTCCTGTCTGCAGACCGGGTGCTGGGAGGACTAAGTGAGAGCAGGGAAGGAGCCAGGTGGTGGCCAGCACCCAGTGAGCGGCCAGTGAGCGAGAGCTGCCGTCACTCCCATGTGAGGGATGGCTTTCCTCCAGCCTCCGGGCCACTCTTTCAGCACCGGTTCCCATGCAGATCTAACTCAGCAACACCAGCAGTGAACACGGGGCAAAAGTGAGCATGGGAGGGCAAAGCTCCATCTCCTCCTGTCCATCCTGCCCGCTGTGGACCCCTGGACGGTTGGTGTTTCCCTTGTCCGAGCTCTGTGACACTCACAGGGGCTGGAAAGGGCCCAGGGAAAGGTTTCTCAGGCACCTGAGACCCAGAGGAGCAGAGGGCACTGGAGTGAGCGTACTACCAACTGAAGAAAACAGTGCTGGCTGGGCGGATGTCACAACAGAAGAGACAAAACACAGTGAAGAGGGGAGCTTTGAGGCTGTAAAATGTGAACTGGTGATTTAAAACATTGGTTTCAATCAGTTTGCTTTTAACAATTCACTTGGAGCAAAAAGAAACATTTATATCCATAAAACCGCAGACAAATCCAACAACTAAGATGGAGAAAGAATTAGAAATTACAATGAATAAACCAACTGACGAAGTTAGGGAAGAATGACTCCCAGGTGTCAGAAAACCTGGACAAAGTCGAGTTCAGATGCATACGAACTTCCTACAACCAACAGGGATGCCTGGTGACCAACCCTAGGCTTGAGTGTCTGAGGCCAGCTGCCCGGCCTGTGAAGCAGGGAGGCAGGAGGCTGACAGGCACAGACACGGCCCTCCGGCCCACAGTTGGCTGGATGCAGGGGTCTGTCCCAGTGCAGGGCAGGTGTCAGCCTGTGCGTGCTGCCTTCCAGCCCAGCCTCCCACTCAGAGGTGTGATGGCGGGTCTGGGATGGCTTTGAGGAGGGGACAAGGCAGGAGGACCTGGCTCTCTGTGGGCCCCCTCTGGCATCAGGTTCCTGTGCTTCCTCCTCGGACACACTCTAACATAGCGCTTTCAAGCTAATGGTTGAAACCCATTTTAGCGAATTGCAACTAGCATAGAAAAAAAAAAAAAAAGACAAAGCCCAGAGAGTCTGTGTACACAGAGCTCCCATGATCTGGATGCAAACTGTTCTGTAAAACGAAGTTCAGGTACTGGCAACAAAGGTGTGCCGGTAGTAGAAAGTATACCATGTGGCTGCAGGGGGAAGGCTCAAAGGCACCCAAAGATGAAGCTGAGTGGCCCAGAGGTACTCAGTGTGGTCCCGGGGTCTGGGCAAGGTGGCTCGCCAAGGGCTCCTCTGCCAGCTGGGGTCTCTGGAGAAAACCTTCCCCTGGGGACCCGCAGGCTGGCTGCTTCCACCTGGGAAGCACCTGGGAAAACAGCTGGTGCTGGCAATGAACATCCCCTGCCCCAGTGCCCTGCTGTGCCCAGCCCTCCATCCTGCTGGGAGTGGTGCCTTGGGCAAAAGCACCAGGGCACCCTTCATGCCTTCTAAGGTTTGGCACTGAGCATCTGCTGTTTTTGAAATGTGGGAGGACGACCCACAGATGCAGCTAGCAGGAATTTCCCAAACTTAACAAAAAAAAAACAAAAAAAACTCCCCTAGCAGGTTGGAAGCATTCGCCCCAGGTGCCAGTCGGGGAGCCCACCTACCAGCCTTGAAGCTCAGCTCATCATGCTCCTGCCCTTCGTAGTCATAAAGGGCCCGGACCCGCACTTCCGTCCCCGAGGTGGTGTCCTCGTCAAATGGGTTTGAGTCCCCATTGGCATCCGTGGAGGAGAATGGGTTGTTAGATTCATCATCCGACCAGTCAGTGGGGTAGCTCTGGGTCTTCTCATAGCTGCTCACACTGCAAGAAAAAGGGTGGACCCGAGGACCCTGAGTATGGGACTGACAGAGGCACGAGGTCCTGCCTGGAGGCTCAGCCCCTGCCCAGGGAGGCTGCAGGAGCCCCGGGGCCCGGCGAGGGACCTCCTTCCGCAGGAGCACAGTCCCTCAGCATCACAGTGCAGTCAGGCTCCCCGCAGGGCTGCCCAGCACACCCGTCTTCCTGTGGTGGTGTGCCAGGGCCTCGACGAGGGTTAACGGAGGACAGAGAAAGAACCACAGATTGTTAATAGGTGCCCCCCTCCCTGAGAAATCGAGAAGCCAGAGACTGTCCACCAGCCGGCAGCTGGGCCACCTCCTGCAGGCCCCATGCATTGCTGTGAGTGCCAAGGGGGCAAGAGCCTGGACAGAGAGAGAGGAGACACAGAGAGCGAGCGAGGTGGGAACCAGAGGGAAACGTTTGTTCACCAACTTTTTGGCCTTAATGTCCTCCTTCTCACTGACGGTGCTCCCCGTGTCGTCCTCATCCTCGAAGGGGTTGTAGCTGGACAGAGACTGCGCTGACCGTGCGGGGTTGCTCGGGACACTAAGGTCACTATGGGGAGAGAGAGAGCTTTCAGGGGACCCCAGCTCAGCACCCTGCCCCGGCCCTGGGTGCTCCCAGCTGCAGGATCACAGGGCCAGGGGCTGAAGGGGCAGACTGGCTCCTCACACAAGAGGAGGATTTGTCATTTGAGCAGAAAGAACATTTTAGCAAAAACACTTAGTGATATTCTGGTTGTTAAACACATTTAAAGCGTCTAAGGAGAACAGCAGGTCCATTTCCCTTCTTGCCTGTGGGTGTGGTCTATCCTGAACAGGAGACTGGGGTGCGGACAGGCTGCCGCTGGAGCACAAGTGATGTCCGGCCTGTGGCTTCTCCCCACAGTCCTCCCATCCGGGCCTGTGGCCAGCACTGTGATGCTGGGAGCTGGCAGTCAGCCTGTGGGGCTCAGCACCCCCTGCTGAGAGCGAGAGGGGCTCCTGGAACTCTCCAGACCCCACAGCGCAGCATTCCCCTCCTTCTTCCAAAGGCTCCAAAGCCCTCCTCCCTGCTTCTTCTGGGGCTAGAGCTTCCAAAATCAGCTCCCAAACCTGCTAAACAGCCCTTTCTAAGAAAGAAGGACCCTTTTGTGCTTCAGAGAGAGAACATCCATCTGCATAACTGTATCAGCCATCTACAGTGAGCCAGGCCCCGAGGGGATGGACCTGAGGGAGATCGGACCCAGGCCCAGCCTGAGGGCTGACAGCCAGGATGCAGTGAGTGTGCGTGCTGCGGAATAAAATAAGACGGTAAGAGCCCTGGCGCTACACCGTGCAATTCAGCTGCAAGGTGGGGCTTGTGGGGCCAGGACCACCTCCAGCCTCCAAGTTAGGGACTGCATGCGGCTGGCACTTGAGCGCTGCACGGAGAGCTGGAAGGAGAGGGAAGAGGAGAGGAGGAAATGCCTCAAATACTACTAGTGACCTCAAGGGGCCGGCAACTGCCTCATGGCTTCAGGCCCAGAGAGGGGCGCTCGACCCAAGCCTGTCCACTGTCACACTGGAGCTGCATGTCTGAGACCACTAGGCCCTCCTCTCTCCCCAGCACCTTTCTCTTTGAGGGGGTGCTGGTACCGGGAAGCGGAATTCATGCAGCAGCCCTGGCCTGCCTAGACTCTCCCAGACCCTCCTCTCCCACCAGCCCCAGTCACACAAGTGCCCGCCTGATCCCTGGGACACCGCTTACTGCTCCAGTCACTTCACCAAGCCCACCTGCCCAGACAGAGACCCAGCAGCTGAGTGACAACTGGCCATGTCTGGCCAGGGAGCCCAGGTAGGGGCTTCAGCACTCAGGGCTACAGAAAGGCCTCCAGTACCTGTGCTGACCCTCCTAGGAAACCACAACCATGAGCTGTATTATTACTTGTTGTGGCATGGAAGCCTCTGGGCCCAGAGCCTGTGGGGCAGGAGTGGCTTCCAGGGAGGGGCAGCTGGCAGCCTCAGCTCTGCAGATGAGAGCAACATCTATCTACTGGGACTCGGAGGCCAGAGCAGGCCTTGTCTAGCACACGCTTTCCACAAGGTTCTAATGACCTCGGTGCCACCTCTTCTAACCAAACTTGGTTTTAGCAGATAAGTCAGAAATAAAACAACCAACACTTTCATCAAAGATGTGCCTTGAAAAGGGGGGACACTTGACAATGATCTCCTGTACCACTACTCCCCTCCGAAATCAAGCACCTGCATACAGAACAGAGAAGTACAAACCTGACCGGGATACCTGCACCTGCCCAAAGGATGGCATCAATGGTAATCTCCACCTGCCTGTGTGTACCACTGCGGATACACAATGACCAGCACCTGACATCAGCTCCTGCCCTCACTTGGGGCCAGAAGCATGTTTGTGCCAAAGGGTCCTTTCTCTGGATCTTTTCAGAGCTCTAGCATCAAGTGAGCTGATGATCCTTCCCAGAGATGCTCTTGGGCCACTGCCCAGCACAGTTTGGATGCCCAAGGAGCATCTGGAAAGACATTGGTGGGGTTCCCTACAAGGCCTCACGGGGGGAGGGGGTTAATCTCCTAGGTATCCAGGCTGGAAGCATCCAGCCCACACAGAGGACCCGGGGGACCTATCCCAGAGGATAGAGGCTGCCTCATGCCCACCTGCTGGGCTTGTTCTGCAGAGCCTGGTCGCCCGTCTGGTTGATGCCGGTCAGGGTGACGCCATCAGCAGGCTTCTTCTTCTCTCTTCGGCTGAGAGTTCGATTCAGGTCTGCGGACCACTCCTGGGCAAGCAGGCACCGAGAGAGAGAAATGGGGAAGTTCATTGGTTTGAAGCCACATCAGTCTAACACACTGGGCAGAAAGCCAGGGTCTGTCCTGCACAGTTAGTGGCATGCAGCCCCGTGGCCTCAGTTCACCTTGCTTGCTAGCTGACCTTGGGTTCCCAGCACCCCCCTGCTACCCCCTTCTCACTGCTAAAGGTGGGGACTCCAGCCTGTGTGGGTCTCGTCTCTGGAAGGAGAGTCTGACCAGCCAGCACTCAGGTGTCCAGGAACTTCCCCATCCTGCCCTGGGGGCCCCATGGCACTACGCCTCCAGCCTCCTCAGGCCAGCAGGGGTCGCCAGAGGCCTCACCGGCTTTCCTTGAGCCTTCCAAAGTAGACAGGAGCTAGTTCCCATCTAGTCCCTGACTGGTTTCTGGCTCTGAGCGAGTGCAACAGGAGAGCTGGCTGCAGGTTCTGGGCAAGCCCTTGTGGGGACCGCAACTTGGCGGGGGGTGGGGGGTGGGCGGGTGTCAGGGGCAGGTAAGCTAGCCCTCCCCCACCCCAGCAGGTCTCCGGGGAGCAAGTGGTGCCCTCTGGCAGCTCACAGCACAGCAAGCACTCACCTCCCAAAGGTTTACTAGTTTCCCCACATGGAAACAGCTTTATCATCCACAATGAGAAACACTCAAAGTGGGTTACAGAAGGAAGGGGCCATGACCTCATTCCCCGGAAAGGTCTCCCTCCTGACCCCACCCATCACCAAATAACCTTGACTGAATTATTAACCCTTGGTGTGTTGAGTCCATAGCTTGGCACACATGTCCGTGTAACACTTCCGGGTTAGAGGCCAACTTGGAAATATCAAGTCTAACCTGCCAACTTGTCAAACAAGGAAACTGAGGCCCAAGAAAAGGTGACTTGCCCATGCAGAGCTGGTGGCAGAACTGGGCCCCTGACTCCAGACCCTCGTCATCTATTTATTAATTATTCTCTCAACTGAAATGTTGACTCAGAGCAACCATATGAATATAAATCTGTCCTGAATGTGTGGCTTCCAGGACCCGTGTGATCAGTGGTAGGCCAGCCTGGGAAGGAGGGGCCCGCTGTTAGTGTGGACAATGAACAGCAGGGCAGAAAGGCCACCACATGCTGTCAGAACCAGACTGTGGACCCCACACACACAGACCCGTGCGGGCCGGACACACATTGCTGGAGGGTTGGGATTATACATTAGCCACAAAGTAAGAAACTTACTTCATCCTGCAGCATGGAAAATAAAAGCAAATAGTTTCATTAGAGAAAGTCAAGCATGATCCTATAAGAACCGTAAGCACAGGCCACATGTGGGCGCTGCTTCCCAGCCTGTAGGATCCACGAGAGGAGGGCTGCAGTGGCCGGGACGCCCATACCAACCCATACCATAGAGCCAGCCTGTCAGCTCAGGTCTTCCTTCCCAGACCACTACGCTCTCTAGGTATAGGTGGACAACCCTAAGGGCGGGAGGGGAGGGCTGCATTTCATAGGTGGCTTCCCAAGTCCCTCTGGATCAGTATACACCCCTGCAGGGTGAATCCCGCTCCGTGCACAGGACACACCAGCTCGCTTCTTCCCCGTGCACCATCGCTGGGGGTGGGGTAGGCTATGTGCTTTCCCCTCTAGGGCCACTTCTACTCAGGGGGACCCTGGGCCTCTAGCTCATCCCAGTGCCTCTGTGGAAGGGGCATGGTCTGCTCTCAGCCTCCTGTCGGGAGATGTCCTAACACCAGTGCAGGGAATGTGCTCAGCTGCAGAGACCCACACTGTCATGGGAGCAGCTTCTTGAGAAGCTCCAGAAGACAGAGGGACATGTGTGAGGTCTGACACAACCGTAGCTAGGGTGGGGCTAGAGGCCAGCATGGACTCCCAGCTGCCCAAGGAGACGGGTGCTGTTGTCATCCCCACTTTACACATGGGAACAAATGACTGGCTCAGCGTCCCACAGCTGTTAAGCGGTGAGGCCAGATGTGCAGCCTGTACTCTAGCAGTCTCCAGGGGCAGGGGAAGCCTCTCGGCCCTCGTGCCAGGTGTCCTCCCCGGAAGGCAGCAGTCATAGCCCTTCCAAGCCTTTCCTGGCTCCTGCTTTACCACAGGTGGGGAGAATCCCTTCCCTCAGAGGAGGGGGTGGCAGGACTTAGTGAGGGGGGGAGCACAGATGGACTGTGGCTGGAAGAGGCCCAAGAGACCCAGTCCTCACATTTTGCAGGTAAAGATACTGGAAGGCTCACACTCATGAAATCAGGAAAAGAGGAAAGCTAATCCTGAACCAAAAGGAGTTGAATTTACTGTCTGAACCGAGGAAAAGTCCCCTGTGGGAAGGGTAAGAAGAGCTACACATAGCCCCATCTCTCCCCGTCCCAGGCCTGAGGCCTGCCAGCCTGGTGTGCGCTAGGCTGGTGTGGCCATCCTGCGGAGCAGGTGGGGAGCTGCGCAGCTCCCGGGGCTCATCAGCAACTAGAGAATGCCAATGGTCAACAGGCGACCATCATGGTTCCTAACAAGCGAGAACACGATTGCACCTTCACTGAACTCCAAAAAGCCCTGCAGTGGTGCCCTTGGGACTCTCCACATTGACCTCGGTTCCAGAGTAGCCATGCTTAAAGGCTGCCTCCTAAGCAGGGCAAAGGCCATCACCAGTTGGAGCGAGAAAGCATACATCTCAACTCTGTGGGCCCAGCCCCTGCCGGACCAAAGGGGTCCTGGGCACAGCCTCCTCTTACCTCAAACTGTGGCCAGTTCATGGACATGCCTGGCCCGTGGTTGGCTCTGAACCACCTCAGGTCCTCCACTGCGTCAGCAGCTTTAATGCTCTGCTCCAGGTCACGGTAAATGTTCTTGTAGCTAAATCAGAGAGAGGAAATGCATGACTCTCTTGGAAGGTAGGGATGGCCCCCATTCACCCTGCCCCAGAGCCTGGCCACAGCGGGGGCGTGGGCTCTGGCCACACAGAGTTGGCTTTGTAGCTTGGACCAGGATGCTCTGCCCTGGCTTGGCTGAATGATTATCTGGCCTCAGTGTGCAGAGCAGACGAAACACCACCATGGGCTGCAAGCCACAGCTTTGGCTTCCCACAAATTGGGTTGAAATCAAACCAGGTGGCAGGGCAGCACTCTATGTCAGATAATGCAGCAGGTGCCAGCACCTTGGCCACATGGGCACTGACCTCTGTGGCTCCACTTAAACAGGTCCAGAATCAGGAAAGTTCCCCCTCATCCCTTCAAAAAAAAGCTGGAAGGTGCAAAAGCTGTAAGTGAAGACTGCCCAGTGCTGTGGCCGCAGAACTCACCCTCTACCTGGAGCAGCAGCTCACACCAGCTCAACATCCTAGGAAGTGGATTATGAAGGACAGGACCTAGTGTTTCCCCTTATCACCTACATGGCAGGCAAGTCCTTTCCCTCTCTGGGTCTCAGTTTCCTCTGTTGAGTGGGCACAGTGCCATCTGGTCTAAGTTGAAGTGTGTCCTCCACACAAGATATGTTGAAGTCCTGACCCCGAGTATCTTAGAATGTGATTTTATTTGGAGATAGGGTTTTTACAGAAATAATTAAGTTAAAATGAGATCATTAGGGTGGGCCCTAATTGCTGGGAGAAATGTAGACACGCAGACACACACAGAGGAAAGGGTACATGAAGACACAGAGAGAAGATGGCCACGTGGCAGGGGTGATGTGTCTATAAGCCAAGGATTGGCAGCAGACAGAATGACAATTGGAACGATCTTCCCCCCTGGAGCCTCAGAGGGAGCACGGCCCTGCCAACATCTTGATTTTGTACTTCCCACCCCCAAACTGTGAGACAATACATTTCTGCTGTCGTAAGCCAGGGGTTTGGTATTTTGTTATGGTAGCCCTAGGACACTACTCTGCCATCTACTCCCCAGGCTGGCTTCGAGGACTCAGTGAGGCCAGGCATGCCAGCCAAGGACAAGCGTGCACATAATGGGCACAGCTGCCCTACCCCAGCCAGCAGTGCAGCCCCAGGCAAGTCAATCCACCAAAATTGGCCTCAGCTTCCCCCCTGGTAAATGGGGAATAATGCCACCCACTTTACAGACTGTCCTAAGCATTAAATACTGGCAGAGTGGCGATACAATAACTGTTCCCTTCCATTGAATTATACAGGAGACAAAGGGAATGCAATTTCTTAACAACAAGTCTTAGCTTGTGAGTCATTTCTACACAGCTCTGCAATAAGGATGACTGAAGTCCACATCCATGGTTAGCTCAGACCTCTGCCCCAATGGAGGCATCGTGGGAAAAAAGAGAAGGCGACTGCAGAAAGAACATCACAGCCTCCATGTCAGGATCCAGAGCTGAGCCTCCGAGGGCCTGTGCTGCCCAAGAGGCCCCCAAGAAGTCAAGGCTGAGTGGGCAGCCAGCCACGTGAACGGAAGGGCCTCCGTAAGATGGTCCTGAGGGAAGGGCACCAGCCTGGGAAACACAGAGAAATGCTCCTGGCTGGATTCCAAATATGCCAACTGTGGCTGATCCAGGCTGCAGCCCTCCCTTCCTACCTGGACCTCGAGTGTCGTACTTAGAGCTGGTGGCTCAGGGCTCACCTTAATGCACAGCCTGAGGCTGCCCAGCTCAGGCCAGCAATGAGCTGGCCCAGGCTGATGGGATGCCCAGCATAGGCCAACTGTGCACCTGCACATGGGCTCAGCACAAGGTTCCTCCCTGGGCAGGAGGACTTAACCAGGGAGATTTTTTTTTTTTTTTAAAGATTTACTGGGGGCAGGGGTAGTATCCCAAGTAGACTCCCCACTGGGCATGACACCCGACACAGGGCTCAATCCCACAATCCTGAGATCATGACCTGAGCTGAAATCAGGAGTCAGACACTTGACTGACAGAGCCACCCAGGTACCCCCAGGGAGAAGCTCTTCTGACAAACACTGCCATCCTAAGTCTGGAGAGTAGTGACTGAGCTTTATTCAAAAGCAATTTCCCACTGGCCTCCTGGTGATGTGCTCTTTCTCTAAATGGAAACTTGGGATTCCTGGGTGGCACAGCGGTTTGGCGCCTGTCTTTGGCCCAGGGCGCGATCCTGGAGACCCGGGATCGAATCCCACGTCGGGCTCCCAGCGCATGGAGCCTGCCTCTCCTTCTGCCTATGTCTCTGCCTCTCTCTCTCTGTGTGACTATCATAAATAAATAAAAAAAAAAAAAAAAAAAAAAAAAGGAAACTTACCTGGCCACATTTGACAAGTCTAGGTGCTTTTGAACCTCCAGCAGAACTTCCCGGAAGAAGCGCAGACGCTTTTCCTCAAACTGCTGGCACTGCTCAAACACCTGCTCCATGTTCTCCATGTACTGTGGCGTGCTCTGATCAAGCTCCTTCAGGGACTTCTCATATTTCTCTTTGGTCTACAAGACAATCCAGGCACCACAGGGCAGAGGTTCATTTCCATTCACCTTGGTTCCCTCTGATGGAGAGAAGGTGAGCCAGGCTCTGCACCACCCTGCTCCTCACCTGCCTTCGTCCCCTTCTGAATCATCAGCATCTAGGCCTACTTATAAGGTGACTATATTAAGGCAGACGTTTTGAGTGACTTTATGAGGAGTAAGCGGGGTGAGGAGCTGTGACCCAGCATCCAAGGATCTCCTTCCCTGGCACCCCTCAGATTCCAGCCTAGAAGACTCACACTCTACCTCTGCTCCTGAAGGGCGTTCCCACCCAATCTGGGCTGGAACAATATTCCCACCCCACACAGCCAGGCCCTCCAGGCTCTTCTCTAATGCCATCTCCACCACTAAGGCCATCGCTGGGGAAAGCTTCTCAGGCCACCTCAGACTCCAAAGCATAAGCTCTGGAGTCTGACAGACTACTTTCAGTCAAGTTCAAGTCTCAGACCCTCCACTTCCAAACTGCCAACCATACTCCTGGCATCTGCCGGGCCTCTCAGCTAGCAGCAGGCCCAAACAGGTCAATGCTGGGGAGGGGACAGTCCCTCTGGAACCCAGGGTGCATGGTTGGGCACCACTGCCACACTGACCCCTGCCCACAGCATCCACCCATGTCCTCTCTCCTCAGGGAAGGGCTGTGCCAGGACCCTCTTGAGCCTCGGACCTTCCCCACAGCAGTGGTGACTCAGCGGATACCTCAGGGCAAGAGCACGGGGTATGAGTGCCAGACAGGCCTGGGGGCGAGTCCTGGTACCGCACAGAGTTTCTTACAGCCTCACTTCGCCTCGCAGAAAACGAGGTAGAGGCAAACCTCATTTCATGTCACCCCACAGTACTTCATGTTTTAGAGACCGAGGGTCTGTGGCAGCTCTGCGTGGAGCAAGTCTATTGGTACCATTGCTCCCACAGCACTTGCTCGCTCTGTTGTCTCTGCTCACGTTTTGGTAATTCTCACAATATTTCAAGTTTTCATTATTATCATTATTGCATTTGTCATGGTGATCTGTGATTAATGATTATGATTCGCTGAAACCTCAGATGATGGTTAGCATTTTTAGTAATAAAGTATTTTTAAATTAAGGTGTGTATACTGTTTTTAGACATAATGCTATTGCACATGTAATAAATGACACTATTTTGTAAACATAGCTTTTATGTGCGCTGAGATACCAAAAAATTCATTTGACTCACTTTATTGCAGTGGTCTGGAACTGAACCCACAATGCCTACACTTCCACTTCATGGCATTCTGATATTTTAAACGAGGTGACACAGAATGAGCACCAAGCTGCATGAAGTAGGCATTCAAAAAAGTCCCCGTCCCCGTGTCCCCCAGGCCTGTCACATCCCCATACAGCCATTCATTCCAAGACTGTCCTCAACGAGGGGTCTGAGCAGAAAGGAAATATGGAAGGCCATCTAGTCTCCTGGGGCAAAATGAGGCACAGCAGGACTGCAGCCTTTCCACTGTGGAGACCCTGAGAAATGGGGGTGATCACAGACAGACAGGCTGGCTAGCTCCCCAGGAACTTTGCTTTTCTGTCCCTGACCATGGTGCCAGCTTCTGAGGAAGGGCTGAGCCTCCCTGAACCATTACAGGCTGCCCTGCCCCTGCCTTCTGGATCAAGGCCATGTCTCAGGACCCCAGCCCCTGCAGCCTCTGGAGCAGCTCTGCCCCTACTCCACCCCAAATCTACTCACCATCTACGCTGCTTTTCTCCTGGACACCCTTCTGTGACTCAAGCCCTGGAAAACTCCCCTTTATGGTCCAGAGACCCCTCTTCTCCAAGACTTCCCTTACAGGCCCAACCCACTCCCTAAAGTCTCCCTTCCCGGCACCCCCTCATATTCTGTTCCTTGTTCTACTTCTGAGCCTCCTGGCTGGGCTTGGGTCCTCTGTGACCCCAAGAAAAGGTCATCCCTTCCAGAACGTGGACATTCCCAGGAGGAACAGAGCACCACCAAATGCTCTGACTACTCATTATCATCATCATCATCTGCCCTGTTCCTAGACGTGTGAGGCTCTGAGTGGGATCACTAGGTCAGAGGCCTTAAGACATGCAGCTGTGGTTTAAATACACAGGGCCTGGTGGTACCACCAGAGCAGCACAGAGAAACCACTTCTCTGGGGTACTCCAACAACACACAGGAGCCTCCCTGGGGCCTCCCTGTGCTTACAAACAGCCCTGCCCCAGCAAAGCCAGATACAGAGCAGGGTCATCACTATCGGGGAATTCCTAGCACAGAGCACAAAGAAAGTTCCTAGGAAACACCCATGGAGTGAAACAAAGGCAGCCTTCGCTCTCCTGTGGACTGGGACACTTAGCACTGAACATGAGAAAGTGCCTTCTGACAGGTACTGCAGGACGCAGTCATGGCCTGACCAATGAGAAAAACAGACGGGCCTACGTAACCAGTCAGTGCTGGTTTTTAGAACTTGTTTCAAGAAGGAGAGTGGGAGGGTGAAGTCACCCTCCTTTCCAGGCCAGCTCTAAGCCTACAAGGTCCATCATGCCCCATGGTCACTGGCTGGACCACAGAGCCAGGAGGGAAGCTTCTATAAAGTGGCCCAGCCATCCTGACAGGTGCCTTATGTCTGACTTCGGACCCTGGACCAATTTGGTAGATTCCATTGTGAATGGCAATGAAACATGAAAGGTACGTGTGTCTATGTCCCTCACCCCCACCCCAACCCTCCATCCACACCCAGGAACAGAGAAGCCTCGTCCCTCCTCCAGGCACCGTTCTGGACACGTGGCAACAGCAACCCCGAGCATCGTCCCAGCCTTATTTTCCTTGAGCCTGGGTGCCCACCCCATTCAGCGAGTAGCCCCAGACTCCTCACCTGATCTCGCAGTGGAGGCAGCCTCCTGGCAACCCCACACTCCTGGACTGGACCCAGTTCCAGAACCAGGTGTGGGCAGTCGGGGCCACTCCCCAAGGGACTCAGGTGCTTGCTCTGAGTGATGAACTCTTCTGTAGACAGTCCCCACAACCACCCTCCCCTGTATGCCAGTGACAGCAGTGAGGAGCAGGGAGAGAGGGTCGGGCCTTCCCTCACTCACACTACCAGGTGGCACAAGACTAAGCCTCCCTGAACTGTTTCCTCGGTCACACAACAGAGATGCCACCACCTAAATTCCCTGGGTTCGGTGGTGTCCATCCAGGCTGAAAGGGTGGTGGGTTTAACACAGCAGCAGCAGCTCAGGGCTCTCCCGTTTCCCCTTCTGGGGGAAGAACAACATCTTGCTCCCGGGACACAGCCCTTCTCAACCTGGCTCAACCCGCAGCCTCCACCCACACCTCTCTGGGCCTCTCTGCCCAAACGCACGCTGGCATCTCTCCTACCTCAGCACTGCGGCAAGGAGGACTCCAGACAGCTCAGCCCCCAGCCCTGCACCCCTCTCCACCCAGCAGAGGTGGTGGCCTAGGCCTTGCTCACGTCAGTTTTCATTTCCTGGGAACTTTTAAATTATATGAATCTGTCTAGTGTTTGTATCCTGTGACTCAGGCTTTCCAGGTAGAATCACTACCTGCGTCCATAGAGGCCCCCCTCTGTCCCCCTAGTTTATACCATCCTCCCACTTGGTCTCTCCAATCCACGGCAGCAGGGCCCCCCTCACCCCCCCCCCCACTGCACAGAAAGGCAGAAGGGCACCCAGGATGCTGCACGCAGGGCCTGTTCACGGACTCTTGGCTGAGCACCCGCAGCCCCCACCCACACCTCTCTGGGCCTTCATTGCCGGGGCTGCGGGGAAACCTGCCCGCTCCCCCGACCTCTCCAAGCTCCCCGTGGACACAGTGTGCTGGGCGTCCCAGGCACTCCACCTTCATGGGACTCCCTCCACTCACCACCAGAGCAACCCTTCTAAGCTGTGGTCCTCCTCCACACCTCTGCCCTCCCTGAGCTCTGGAACCTTCTTTCAGTGGCTCCCTGTTAGTGTCCTGAAGCTCCTTACTTCACTCGCCTTGCAAGACCACTTGGTCATCATAACCCTCCGGGCCAGCTCTTGCATCAGGCTCCTGCCGCTGACATCCACACCTCCATGTCCTGCACAAGCTGGTCCCTCCCACTTCTCTCACAGCAGCCCCGGCCACCCCACCACCTTTCCCTGAGCGGAAGAATCGGCCGTTGCCCTGCTTGCCCAGCACTCAGTTCTGCCCTCCATCCTGAAGTGGGCAAGGGGGCTGTGGGAAGGTAAGGCGCTCACGTGGGAGCCTCCTGAGGGCAGGAATAGGTCTTACTGCTGTGCCATCTCTCCACCCCTCCAATCAAGTGGCAACAAAGCTAACTGCGGGCCAGAGAGGTGTCTGGCGAGGCTCGTGCATTCACCATGGAAAAAGATGTGCCACATTTACCTTAAGAACGTCTTGCTTGCATTTTTCTACTTTGTCTTGCAACTTCTTGAGCTGCTCAGGGTTGAGGGATGGGTCTGCTTTGCTATTGGTTTCTCGTGATGTGGCCAACTTCTCCTCTTTGCATGCTGCATGGTAGGCCTTCTTTGCTGCCTCTACCTGCATGGAGAATGAGCTCCTGAGTGTTACGTGTCTGCAAGTTCGAGATCCTAACTAGAGATTTCACAGACTCTGCCTGCAACACCCCGAGGAAGGGGAGGAACAGGTACAAGCTGTGCCTGTCGTATAATTACAACTAGGTACAAGGGAGGAGTATGCTCAACAGATACTGACAGGGTGCCTGCTTTGGGTCAGGTGCCATTCTGGGCACCAGGGTACAGCACCAAAGACCCTGGCTTTCAGGGACCTCTCCATCGAGCTAGGGAGGCAACCACAAGAGCTAGCTGAAGAACAGAGTGAACAAGAGGGTGATGAGTGCCAAGAAGGAGAGGGAAGCAGGGATGAGAGGTGGGGCGCCATGCTGAGGCAGCTGGAGAGAGCCAGCCAAGATGACATGGAGCAAGAATGTGCAGGAGGTGTGGCTGTCTGTGGGAAGAGCATGCCAGGCAGCTGGAACGGCAAATACAAAGGACGTTCCAAAGTTCCGGAGCTAATAGGAGGGGGTAATGTTGGGAGGCAGAGTCACAGGCCACTTGTTCCACGGCTACCTCACACAGCTAGAACATGTACACACATACAAGTGCATACACACACAGCTGTGTCTTTATTTAACAGATCCTTCTTTCCTTGAGCCAAAGTCAAAGTTCAATCTAGAGAGGAAAGAGGAGTTTTGTAACCATGGCCTCATGGTTGTCATTACACAAGGCCATGGACAAGAAGCAAGATAAAGGAGATGTGGCAAGAGCCAAGAAACAGAAGAAAGAAGGAAAGCCTGTTGTTACAACCTAAAGACAGAGGTCTGTTCCAGGTGATTCTCAGGAGGAGGGAGGTGGTACTCCTGAGAAAACCCAGCAGGCAGAGACAGAAGGAAGCAGGAACTCCGCCCAAGAACAGGGCTGGCGGAGCTTTGGCAGTGGGGGACAGGACGGGGGAAGGGGGCCCCTTTTGTGCTGAGGGTGGGGGTGCCTGTAGAAGAGCCTCTAGCTAGCAAAAGCCGGGAAAGACTCAGCAGCTTCAGCTGCTACTTTTAGAAAAACCAGTATCAGTATCATTTGCAAATTTCAGAGGAAACATATACAAAATAAAGAAAAATTTTAAATCAATCATTTCTACCAGCCCAAAGGGATTTTTGGTGTCTTGGAATTGGTCACTGTTAGCCAGCAGGGGGCTTCTGGTCCAGGGGGGACCCCCATCCCTGCCCCTGTTAGATCCTGGGCCCAAAGCATCAGGGCAGGACTAGCCAAGAAGCACAGGGTCAGGCCAGGCAGGGAGCAGCCTGCAGGATGGAGGCACCTCTTTCAGCTTCTTGGCCCAGGGCTTCTGTGCCTTCCGAAAGCCGTCCTCGGCTTCTTTGGTCTCCTTGAAGCCTCCCATCATCTGCTTGTGAAAGGCTTCCTTCTGCCAGTTCTTGATCTTCTCGAAGTCCTCGTTCATCAGCGAGGCTTTCACCTCTAGGTGCAGCTCGCTCACCCTCTCCGCCTCGGACATGAGAGCCGTCCAGGCCTTCTCCAACGTCCCATACTGGGGCCCTGGCACAGGAGAGAAGCTGCTGGTTATGGGGCACCGGGGCCCCCAGACAGGCCCTGTGTGGGGACTCTGTCCATTAACCTCTTGGTTGTGAGGACAGAATTCCAGAGGACAGCCTGGCTGGGCAGGGGTGGGGTAGGGTGGAGGGTTCTTTTCGGTTCTTTCAGTTTTCTCTCAGTGTCTGTTCCTTTTTCAGCTTGGGATGAATAAAGAATAAGGAACCGAAGCTGGATCTACTCAACCATTCTTCTGTTAGGGAAACTGGGGGATTATACATACACATTTTTTCTAAAGTCACTAAACTTTTTAAAAACATGAATTTCTGCCTCTTGGAAGTTTTAATTTGCTTAAGGCTGGCTGGAGAAGGAGTCACCTCTGCAGGACTGACTTCTCTCCCCAGCAGCTCAGAGCCCACCCTCTCCCTTCCCTGCGGTCAGCACTGCTCTTTTCAATCCCAGGACAGGAGCGGAGCCTGGAGCCTGGCTTGGAGCAAGAACTCGAGAGCTGCCCCATCAAGCAGAGAACTGTCTCCACAGCAGAATGGAAGGTCTGTCTTGGGGAGAGGAAGGGGAGTTGGAGGCAGGAACCTGTTCTGGCCACATGGAAATCTCTAGATAGTGGTCACCCCGCACACTGTGCTTAGGAAGGGAGCTCGTCATTTGGCCTGTCATCTTGTTGAGGGTGTGGGGCGGCGTGGGGTCAGGTGAGAGAGAAGGAGGCTATGACAGAATCTGAGGATGAAGATGGGAAGAGCCAGGCCCTGACCTCAAGGCTCTCCCAGGGGACAGTCACTGTTCAAGCTGGGTAATGACATGAAGGAACCACGAACCGTGGAAGGCGAGCCTTCCTGAACTTCTAATCCTTTGTGTCTACAAAACAAGCAGCTCCCTCTCCTGCTGGGTCTGCGACACAGGGGCAGAGTCCACAGGTGAGGGGGACAAGGGGGCTTTGTGAACCTCAGGTTCTGAACAAACACAAGGGACAGTGCTAACAGCTGGGCCCTAGGAGTTAGAAATAAAACAATAACAGTTATGGTTCACAGGAGCTGCCCCTTCCCTGGCTACTCCGTACCCGGGCATGGCCGCCTCACTCCTGGACACCTACTCCACCAAGGCACTGTGCTAAGCCCCACAGACGACTTGCTTCAACAGGGGAAAGATGAGCAGCTAGTCCAGACCCAGCAGCAGCTGCCTGAGGCCCCGCCCGTCCAGGACTGCAGGGCCAGTGGCCTGGCTTCCCCATCCTCTGAGGTCAGTCATCATGGTAGAAGGGCCTGGCCCATAGCACACCCTGAGAAAGTCCCACTACTCAGCTTCTGTCCCAGGAAACCCTGTAATCCATCAAGCTGCCCCTCTACTGCTGGGAAGTGCATTCTGAGCACAATCCATAGCCAGAGCAGCGTTCTGTTACTAAGCTCCAGAAACTTCTGTGTGTTTTGCTCGGGAGGGAGTGGGGGGCAAAACATGTACAACACCTCTACTAATTCCCGTTAACATTCAAAATCAGGGGCAGACCCAGTGGTGTAGCAGTTTAGCGCCGCCTGCAGCCCAGGGCGTGATCCTGGAGACCCTGGATCGAGTCCCATGTCAGGCTCTCTGCATGGTGCCTGCTTCTCCCTCTGTCTCTGCCCCCCGCCCCCCCCCTCTCTCTCTACGTCTCTATGAATAAAAAAAAAAAAAGAAAGAAAAAAAAACATTCAAAATCAGAAAGGCTGCCAGATGTCACCATCTAGTCTCACCTGATGCACTACACAGCCAAACTTACAGATCAACAACTCTCCATGTTGGAACCCACAGTGTGGAGCAGCAAGGCCTCTGATGTGATAGCAGCGCTACTCAAATCTGAGCCCTGAAGGAACCCTTCTGAGTTAAACTGGCAAGTATAGCATCCCATGGATGACAAGGGCCGCAACGGGGGACTCCAGTGCTGCCTGCAGAGAGGAGCCCCATGTGCCGCAGGGGAGGAAAGCCCACACAGTCTGTGCTGCTGGGTGATGGCATCGTGCCGCTCCCCTGTATGAATCACAGCCCCAAGAACTGAGACACACTGCTGCCCTGTTCTTGTGAGAGCTGCCCAGAGCACCCAGGTCGAGACGCCCTGTGCCGTGGCCTCCCTACCCTTCTCGACGAGCTGCCTCCAGCGCCGCGCCCACTCCGTGAGCTGCTGTGCGTAGGCCTTCTCAATGCGTGCCCGCTCGTGCAGGCAGTTCATAAGGTCGCTGCACAGGCGGTGGCCATCGTCTATCCGCTTCACGGTCCGCTTGTAGTTCCCAACCTAGGAGACAGAACCACACTGTGAGGCTGGACCCCGCTCGGCTGTACAAACAGCCTCCATGCCAGCTGGGCTCCTGGGTGCTCATCCATCCCCCCACACCCCCCGCCCCACTCAGAAGGCATCCTGCATCATTAGATGATAAGCTCCCACTAAGATTCCACTAGCAGGAATATTTTTAAAAACAGTGATTTGAAACTTCTCAATAACTACACGGCTGGTGTCCGTGCTCTGACCTGTGGGTCAGTGAAGGAGATAGACCAGCACAGGAAGGGCTCTGACAGAGGGAAGTGAGGGGCTGAGGGTGCCCAGAAGGGCATCTCATGCAGAGTGAAGGGCCAGGGACGGCTACCCAGAGTAAGTGATGTCTGACTAGAGAGATTTAGGAAAAAAAAGAAAGGAAGAAAAAGAATTCAGTAACTCAAATTAAAATGATGTTATAATTAATATTACAGAATTGGCTAAAGGTCTTTTGTGATCCTCATTATATAAATAGATAGAAATATGTTTGAAGTACCTTCTGCTTTAATGTCTTCCCATGCTGGATTATTTTCACTTATCAATTAGAGCAATAAATACTATTTCCCACTACTGAGCACCACTATGTGCCAGGCACCACAGCAGGTGTCTTACCTCCAAATATTGCCCTGCCTTAACAAGTAGGAATAACTGTCCCCATTTGAACAGGAGAACACCAAGGCTTAGAGAATGACAGTTTCCCTGATCTTGCAGCAGCAGTGGCTGGGCTGCTGCTGAATGCAGTGTTTCAAAAGGCTACAGGTAGGGCAGTCTTGATAGCAAAGCTCAGACTCTTATCTGCTTTGATGAGGGTTATGGTGAGTTTTGACTACTTTCACACCTGAAAAGAGATCAGCTCATCTAAATTATCAAATACAAGAGAATAATTGACAAAATATTAGTGGCTAATTTGGACATTGGAGGACTGGAAGGAAATGTGGCAAAAAAATGATCTGTTATATTACAATCCTTTCTTCCTTGTCTTCAAAAATCTTAATCAACTTTCATCAATCTTATCATTTCTAAATGAATTCAACTGAGCTAAATTCTCCAGGCAAAGGCAGTGGTGGTTAGTGAAGACCTCGCAGAGAGACAGAACACATGGGCCCCCAGGGAGATGGGTAATGGGGGAGAAGGGACTCCGGCCCCTTCAGGAAGGGCTGTCCCGGAGGCCAGAGAGAACCCTGCTTCCATGGGATCAGTAAGGACCCCTGGAAGTGAGGTGGCCTGGGCAGCGTTGTCCAGCAGGCAACGCTGAGGTTCACGAATAGCTCTGGGAGCCCACATCAGTTGTTGTTCTGGCCCAGAGCATGGCCAGGCTGCTGCTACTCACCAAAACACACAGCTTTCAACTTTACCCTTCGGTTGCCCCTTTCTTAGCAAATCAAAAGCAAGCATTTCTTTCTTTCTTTTTAAGATTTTTATTTATTTTTGAGACAGAGAGAGAGAGAAAACATGAGCAGGGGGCAGAGGCAGGGGAGACAGAGAATCTCTCAAGAAGACACCCCACTGAACATAGAACCTGACAACATGGGGCTCAATTGCATGACCCTGAGATCATGACCTGAGCCGAAATCAAGAGTTGGTGGCTTAACCCACTGAGCCACCCAGGCACCTCTAAAAGCAAGCATTTCACAATCAGCTGGAAGTGACACCGCAAGCTCACTTCCCTTAAAATAGGGCTTTGCTGTCATTTTGAAATTTACAGCAGGATGAAAAAAAGTAACCAACAAAACACAACTCTGTTGCTGAGCTGGTGGCAAGAGGAGCTCAGCTCATCACAGCTCGATTTGGACTTGATAGTTGACACGAAACCAGGAGGCAGAGGTGGCTTTCATATCACTGTCAACAACAATATCCACACTGGTAATCAAGATCATAGTATGTTGGCTCTCTGGCAACCTGCCACTTCCCTGCTTTTCAAAACCCTTGTAAAAAGATTTAGGGAAAAGAAAAGGCTACCTCCTAAGAAGACACGCATCAGTTCGACCCATCAGCATGTACCTTGGCTGCCGTTCATATTTAAAGGAGAACTCTTAAAATTTGAGAAGCAGCAAGGAATACAGGCAGGATGTTTCCCGAAGCATGAGTTTAGGTTTAAATGCTGGCACTGCCTGAGAAGAGCCAGAAACGTGGTTCTTCAAGTAGATCTAAGTCTCCAGCATCTGTGGATCGCCAGAAGTCCAGGTCCTGATCCTGGTCAAGGTCCAGATCAGTTGACAGTGGAAATTAAACTGTAAATAACTTGCCCTGGGGGCCTTTTTTTAAACAAAACAAATTCCCAAACCATACTTGCTAAAAATTCTGGTAAGTATGTGCTTTTCTGTGGGGGGTGGGATTTGGAGAGGGGTTGAGTTGGGCTGGAATATCTTTGTAGATGTGGACCATCAAGGGGTTGTTGAAAACTAATTGTATTAAATGTCTTTTGATAAGCCTTCTGCTCACATTTTTGTGAATGTCTGAAGTGTATAGTTTGTATATATTGAGAGTTCTTTTTTTTTAATTTTTATTTATTTATGATAGTCACACACACACACAGAGAGGCAGAGACACAGGCAGAGGGAGAAGCAGGCTCCATGCACCAGGAGCCCGACGTGGGATTCGATCCTGGGTCCCCAGGATTGCGCCCTGGGCCAAAGGCAGGCGCCAAACCGCTGTGCCACCCAGGGATCCCGAGAGTTCTTTAATAACTAAAGCAAATTTAATTTTTTTGTACTAGAAAAGATTTGAACATTTTAGTTCTTGGTTATTCAAATATGTTAATTCAGAATTTTTTTTTTTTCAGAATTAGTTTAATGCCTCAATTAAACTAAGTAATAGCTTTGGACATTTAAAAGAGCTCTAATTTTGCTTGTATGTAAAGGCTTGAGTTTTCCTTGTTCCTCCCACCCACCCTTTAACAGCTGCCTGACAAAGACGTTAAAGCAGCTGTTGTTATTGATAATAAAAGATTATAAAATTGAAAAAAGATAATAAATAAATGCTGGCACTGTGACCACTGCTGAGGCCAAGGGGAGAAGGGAGTGTTTATGACACTCTAGCAATGTCTGCTCTGCCGGCCTTTGCTGGGGGAAAAGGCTCCATGTGGGCATGGAACTGCCAACCTTTTAGTCCTCGCGTAGGGACATATGCTAGGTATCACTCTTTCATCTCCATAAACTGCCCAGTGACAAAGCAGTGTGGCCTTCCTGCTCCCCTGAGCGAGGCACTGAAGATTGTCCTAAGAGCAGAACTATGGACAGCTGTTTCTCTACAGTGAAATATAATGAAACATGAAATATAATCTACAACCGGTAATATTCACCTTTCCCAAGTCTATGCTTAGGTGAGTTCAGATGAACGTGTGCGGTGTATAGCCATCTCCATATCCAAGTACGGAAATTTCCATCTCCCCACCACGTTCCCTGTGCCCTCCCGCAGTCAATCTCTGCCCCACACAGCCCTGGCAAACACGGATTTGATCTGTGTCCCTCATGGGGGCCAAGGGCAGGCCGCCGCAAAACAGGCCACTTTGACATGAAGATTATTCTGAGTCAAAAAGTAATCATACCCCCCAGCAGATTCAGTAATTCATACCTCCCCCACAACTGCTCACAAAGAATTTAGAGAGAGGATCTGCTCCAGGAAGAGAGCTACCATCATCGATACCTACATTATACCACCAACTAGGCTTGATGGATAGGAGGAACCCAGCAAGGCCTATCTGATCAAAGTCCTCTGTGTCCCACCGCTTCTGAGTGGCCCAGCAAACATTTGTTTTCTAAACATTTACTCATATTTTTCACCTTCCTGTGAATCACATTCCTTCTCTCTGAAGTCCCAGGCCCCTATCCACTTCTCCTCAGCCTAGGAGAAGTAGCTCAGGTATATGTACCTCATTTTGCCTGTCTTTGGAATATGCCATGTCTGTGTGGATTCCCCATATATACAAGTTAAATTTTATTTTCTCCTGTTAATCTGTCTCATGTCAATTTGATTTTTAGTCCAGCTAAAGGGACTTTGAAGGGGACAGGAGATTCTTCGTCCCCAGCACCCTTTGACGAGCTATCCAAGATAAAGGCAATCACACAGTATGTGGTCTGGCTTTTGAGGCTGATCCATGTTACTGTTTATGCTATATTAATTTTAATTGCTAAGAGATATTCCATTGTATGGATACACCATAGACTTGTTTGCCTTTTCATCCTGTTGAAAGGACATGGGGGTTGTTTTCAGCGTGGGGCAATTATAAAGAAGCTGTGAACATTCACTGACAGGTCTTTGTGTGGACATAGGCCTTCATTTCTCTTGGGTAAATACTTAGGAGTGGAATTGTTATTCAATAAGTATATGTCTAGCTTTATGAGAAATCACCAAACTGTCACCTCACGTGGCTGTATATTTTGCGTTCCTTACTGCAACGTATGAGAGCTCTAACTGTTCTGCATTCTCACTAGCACTTGGTACTGTGGCAGGTTGGGTTTTTTTTTTTTTTTTAAGATTTTTGGCACTTTAGTATGTAGCGATGATCTCATTGTGATTTTAATTTGCACTTTCCTAATGTCTAATGATGCTGAGCGTTTTTTCTTGTTCCTGTCTGTTACCCATGTCTTCTTTGGTGGAGTGTGTTCTCTCTCTTTTTTAAAATACATTTTAAAAATTGAGGTATAATGATGACTGGTTTTTTTATTTATTTATTTTTTATTTTTTTATTTTTTTAAATTTTTATTTATTTATGATAGTCACACAGAATGAGAGAGAGGGGCAGAGACATAGGGAGAGGGAGAAGCAGGCTCCATGCACCGGGAGCCTGACGTGGGATTCGATCCTGGGTCTCCAGGATCGCGCCCTGGGCCAAAGGCAGGCGCTAAACCGCTGCGCCACCCAGGGATCCCGATGACTGGTTTTTTTAAATGCAAGGAGAGTTAAGTTTCAAATACGTACAAACTGATATGTTAAAGTGAAGACATACATGGTTAGCTATTTCTGTTTTATCAGTTTTGTAA